CTGGCGCATCCTTTTTTTTCCGGGGGGAAGCCATGGAGGGGAAAAAAATTGGGGGGCAAATCGATCCATGAAACTCCAGAAGCAGGGCAGCGTTTCCCCCATTTTAGTGGTTGGGAAGGCAAGGAAGGGTGTGGACGTCCAAACCAAATCCAAGATTCCTCATGGTAACAATGAAAGCAAACTGGCCACTTCCCGAGCAAACCCTTCAAAAGGGGAAGTAGCGGAGAAGAAATCAGCTCAAAGCACCTCCAGAGCCAACGCCGCTAAGTTGAATGACCGGGCTGCCGCAACGGACCAAAACACTGCTCTTGAAGACGCATACCGACCGGACAACTGCCCTCTGGTTGCGAAACTCAGGCCATCCATAAGGCTGAACTGTCTGAAGCTAGGTCCTCCAGTGGAGAGGATAGAATAAGGGCACCAACTTTTTCTGTAGTCTATTTTTAGTAGGGGAACCCTCCCAACCAAAAAAGGGGTGAGAAAGTAGTCGAGGGCCTTGCCTAGCAATAAATTGCTTTCATACATACCCCCCACCCTACATTTTTTTTCATCTTCCATCTTCTACCCTTATTTGTTTTCATCATTTTTCTACATTCCTTTCTGTCCATCTCATCCGTTTTTTTATCATCATTTTTCCAAAATTTTCGCCATCCTTTTCTCCTTTCTCCTCGCCTCATTCATTTCATCATATACCTCTCAAAATGTCATTTCCTCAATCTCCTCACCTCATCCATTTCAAAAAAATAAATTTTGCAAAATATATTGCAAAAAATATTTGTCATCAAAAAAATATTCGAACTGTCTAAAAACGATTTGTCCATTTCTCGGACAAAAAATAGAACAGCAACAACATCACTCTCCTCCTTCGTTTCATCAGTTTTATCATATATTTGTTTGGGGCGTGGTCGCATAGCTTGCGAGCTTCGCTAACGCTCGCGTGTCCCTTGTAGGATTTTATCTTCAATATATAAAACGCTATACTTACATTATAATTATAACATATAAGGGTATAAATGTTATTATTATAGTATGATTAATAATTATGGGTTACATTTATAGTCAGGAAAAATGTCTTCAAATATGTAATCTACATATTTATCAATATCGCCAATGTCTATATATTTGATATTGTCTTTTCCTATTATTGAATAAATATATTCCCAGAAAAACAAATTAACTAGTAGCCATACTTGATATTTAGTGTTGTAGTAAGACCATACATGATATTTAGTTATTCTAAATTCATTCAAGACCTCGTTTATTTTATCTTTACTTAATAAATGCCAATCAATCGCATCAAACATGCGTCGAAATTTTTTAACAAATGCTTTATATGGTTTAATTGCGTTTGTCCCTCCAAACCTCTTAATTAAATCTTTATTATTAAAGAACTCATTAATTTCTTTTTCGAATGACTTTCTAGCAATTTTATGGTAAAAACATACAGGACATCGTTTTTGATATTTCATAAAGAATTGCAATTGTAATTGAAACTTTGTATATCCCTTATCCTTATATTCTTCAACAAACAACTTTTCAAGGTCTCTTGTTATACAGCATTGATTACAATATACATCATATTCACTTATTATATTACATAGATTAGCAGGTAATAACTTATACAATGTTGTATTGACATCATTCCTTTTAGTTGTACAACATTCGCACTTTGAATAATTAAATAACATTTCTATTATAATATATATTATTTTTATTTCTTTAAATACTTTTTTGCAAGAAATAAAATTACATATTGAAATATAATTATAACATATAATATTTTACATGTTATTATTATATTATGATTATAATTTAAGTTCAGGATAATAATTTAATTGATACATCTTACCTCTTTCATACATCATTTTAAAAATAATATTAATATCTCTCACTGTATTTTTAACATTAAACTGTTCACTTTCAATATATGATTTTATGACTTTTTTTACATCAATGCCGGGTTTACTATAATAAATCAACATCCATAATATGTCATTAATCATTTCACACTTTTTCTTACTGATTTTAAGAAACTGTTTAACATAATCGTAAGGTGGTCTTTCATACACAGTTAAAAATATCAATATTTCATCTTCAACATTTCTTTCATCTATATTTTTAAACGCCAAACAATTTTCTATTATATTTTGATATCGTCTCCATCTTCTACAAGTTCTACATATATTTTCTTCGTCCAAAGAATAATCAATAATACTATTAACCATTCCATTAGGTAAATTCAATTTATATAATTCCATATTTTCTTTTTTAAAGTGGCAACAATCGTAGCATTTCTTATTGATATAATTATTGATTTCGGTTTCCACCATTTCTATTATAATATATATAGTTGTTATTTATTTAAATACTTTTTTACAAGAAATAAAATTAAATATTGAAATATAATTATAACATATAATATTTTACATGTTATTATTATAGTATGGTTATAGGTTAATTTCAGGATAATAATTTAATTTGATATGTTCATATTTGGCAAAATTATGTTCATGAATGTATTTTAGTATGTCATTAAATTCTTTCAGTTTACTTGATGGTACAAAATGTTTTAAACGCGTAGGGTCATGTAAACAACTGTTAAATCCAGATCTGTATTTCTTAAACCTGCTTGGTGCCAAATTAAACTGTAGCTTTAATTCTTCTTCCTTTGGGAATTTATAAAACTCATTAAAATAGTATACTGTAGAGACATCACTAAAATATCTATTCGCGTGGTCAATTGTCTGGTTCAAATGAATGCAGTTATCGCATTTGCATTTACGTTCTCCATATTCTTTGATTAACCTAATGGCATTGAATGGCAACTTCAAATAAAGTAATAGTGATGAATTGTAATTATGTTTGGATAGTTCGTGTTTGAGAATCTTTTCTGTTTCATTTTTGTTTAAGTCATCCAAGAATTTATTAATAATCTCTTCTTGCTCTTTCTCTGTAAATTCAACCATTTCTATTATAATATATATAGTTTTTATTTCTTTAAATACTTTTTTCCAAGAAATAAATTTATACCTTTAATAACTCATGTCTCAAAAATGCCCTGTCATAATTTTCAATATAATAATATTCCTGTCCTAACTTCTTTTCAATCTTTGCTATTTTGTAGGTTTGTTTAGTCCAATGGCTTGTGCGTTCCTTTTCTGTTATTCCTTTCTTCCTTGCTATTTTGACTTCATCTGAGGTTTTCAACTCAGGATATTTTCTGGTCATGCTTGCATGAGTTGCAATGTTGAGCCCTACGGTCAAGTGATTTTTGGGTTGTCTTGCTTCCTGGGGCGTGTGTCCAGTTGTAGAATGAACCATTTTATTATTATAAGTAAGTAATACTTCAAAATTATAATCTGTCCATTGTATATTTTCTTTTCCCTTCTTTTCGTCGTGCTCCAGTCTTTTGTATAACATCCCTTTGTAAGTTTTTATAAAGCGCTCGGCCATCGGTGCATGACCTCTTGTTAAATATAATTCAATGCCTTCTTTCTTAAAATAGTCTTGAATAATGTTAGATGTAAATGAACCTTCGGTATCTGCGTAAACCATATTGGGTTTTTTTCCCATTTTGTGCAATCCTTCTACTATTCCATGTGCTACATCTTCAGGCTGTTTAGATTTGATAGGTATCACAACTGCGTATTTTGTGAAAGCATCAATAAACAAAAAAGCAACTTTAACTTTTTGATTGTCTAAATCACTGAAAAAGAATAAATCCATCTGATATTCCCAGTATGGTTCCTTTGGGATAAAACTATTATATCCTCTCATTTTAGTTTTTTGTTCAACATTATTTTTAAAGAATTCTTCAATATCTGCCATTGTTATGCTTTTATCCTTTGCCCTACTGTCCTTAAGTGTGGTGGCTTTACTTCCGAAGCCTCCCTTGTCAAAATAAACATTATTAATAATATCTTGCTTAGATGCCATATAAAATAAGATAGATATTATTTTTCCCGGCGATTACAGTTTAAACAGTAAGATATACAGTTTTCCTTATGATGGGCATAATCGTTGCATTTGCGTTGGGCTGTCATATTGCTATTTATTACTCCATTATTTATTTCTATGTCAAAATCTGAACTGCATTTATTACATCTGGTATTAAGCCTGTCAAATAACCATTTGACATCAATATATTTTTTGTTGTCTATCTCTCTCTCTGCTTTCATGTCTTGTAATTTATATTGTTTAATCTTATGTTCTAAATATCTGGTTAATTGTGCTTCAGTTAAGTCAGTATCATCTGTTTCTGCTTTGAAAAACTTGACTTTATTGATATCTCTGCATCTCGTGAGGGCTGTCCAAATCCACTCACGGCTGACCAAATGTGATTTATCCCATTCGTGTATAGTAATGCTTTTATCTACAGAAGCCCCTTGGGACGAATGACATGTAGCACAATACGCAGGTATAAAGTGCTTGTCTAAAGTCGTGGTGTTTGTCATGAATATAGTTTTACTTTTGATATCTTGGATTTCTACTTTCCAATCATCAATACTAATAATTTCATAAGTAATATTTACATTAAACACCTGCCCCATTTCCTTTTTATAAACTCTGCATATCACATGCTCTCCAATTTCATATTTATCTGTCTTTCCTAAATTATTTCTTACGGTCTTGCTTACCCATTTGCACCTAGCATTAGTATAGGCTATGTTATGCTCTCCTTCCATGATGTCGCTTGTAGTTTCAAAATGTTTATTTACTATTTCCTTAATGGGCAGTTTATTTTTCCAAATGTCATTATATATATCATTTAATTTAATTTTATCTTCTTCTGTCTTGAGTCTCTTAGATATCTTAAGATAAATCTTATATTTAAATATTTGATTAAGACAGTTGTTTAAATATGTCTCGTGGTCTTGGGTGTTAGTTAAATCAGCTATAGGTTTCAACTGCTTTCCGTCAGCAGTTCCTATAATTATCTTCTCTGGGTGCGCATCCTTAAACTCCCTAACTCTGTTCAAAATATAATTACCAGCCATGCC